AATTTGATTTTGCCACTTAAGGCAAAGTTGATGAGCGCATCGAGACCTTCATTTTGATCGGAGCAAAGTGCCATTTGGCCACCCTTTGGAATTTCGCAAATTGGGTGAATTTGGGGCTTTTTCTTCTAAGTGAGGTAAGGGTGCTCTAATTCATGACATCTTTGACTTATTGTGAATTTTCCCCCTCTAATTTGATTCTAAGCATGTTTAATTTTAGTTATTTTGTCTTTGGTTGTTGTGGTTGTATGTGTTCAAGATGATAAATGCGTTCTATGTGTTAATTGAGTTCTTGAACATGACTATTTACATTGTGGTGAAGAAGCATGCTTAGAATTGATATACATATATATGTATATATATATATATACATGTATATACATATGTATACATATATATGTATATATTATATGCTTTATGGGTTCCAATTGCCATGAAAATTTGATAATGTAGTTGTGGAAATAAATGCTTAATAATTGTCAAATATGTGAATATGATGTTTGTGGAATGTATGAAATTTTATTGTTGTGTTGGCGTTTGGAAGCATGAGACATTCATGCATTCATTGGGAATGATAAAGGGAAAAAGTGGTTTTGAAAAGAAAAATGAAAATTTATCTTGAGGAAAAAGTTTTCGGAAAATGTTTGCGAAAACTCGAACGCCTAGGAGTCGCCTAGTGGTCCGTGGCGTTAGTGTGGTCTAGAGGGGACTAGGGAGAGACCCTAGCGTGGTTGAGCTACCTAGGCCCTTTAACGACGCCTTGGAGTTGCCATGTGGTCAGGGATAGTTAGTCAATCCTCCTCTCGTGACGCCATGGAGTCGCTATGGGTTGGATTGCACTAACGGTTTGGAAAGATGAAACGGTATTGTTTAAGAAACAGGGAGTGACATTGCAATACATTGCACTGCATCGGCATATGTTGTATACTTGGTGGTCGGATGACTTATATACATTCTTCTTGTTGTATTGTTGCTTTGCTTGTTTTCCGAGACATGATCCCGTTCACTTGTACTCTCTTCTTTGTGTGGATTCACGGGGTCATTAAAAGGTGTCTTAGACACTTCTTATTGAGCAGTTGGCTCTCCCCATCATATTATTATATTTTTCAGGTCACGGGAAGGAAGTGGCAGACGACGCCCCTCCACAAGTTTGAATGTGTTAGTAGACTTTTTTAACATCTTTTGTATTTGTGATCTCATTTTTTTTTTGTGTAAGCCTTGGGATGGCACGTTTATCATGTATCGACGTTGGAATTGACCATAGTGCCTTTAGACAACCTCGGGTTAGGGTAAGGACCCGGTTAGCGATTCGGGCCCTCGGGTTTGGGTCGTTACATTTAGGTTTTAATTCATTCTTCTTGTTCTTTGTGTTAATTAGGAAACCACAGGTTCTTTAAACCAACAGAAAGGTGTAAAGCAAATCATAGTAGAATAAGTTACAATAAAAACGTGCTACTTAGGATAGATGTCTTTGGTGTAATTCTCAAATGTGTTATCTTAGCTTGGTAATCTGAATTATCTATCTGGTTGATCTTGAAATTAGATAGACTGAAGTACTTACTTATTGATATATATATTTTTTCATGGGGAGTGAGAGTTCCTCCAGAGCCCTGAATGATATACTTAATCCAGTAATTCACATAAGTCACTCAAATTGTGAGTGGTAGTCTAACTTAAAGCCTTTTCTTCTTTTATGCACGTCAACACTAAACATATAACGGCTGTGGTAGCATATCCTCTCTTTAAGCTGTCCTCTCTTTTACTCATGATGCACAAATGAACTGTTACACCAAGAGAGTACTTATTGAAGCTAAGTGTAGCCTTACCAGCTATATGGGGGGTCCATTGATGAACATGGAGTTTATTGGAAAGTACTGCTAGGCTAGATTTTTGCCTGTATTAGTAACAAGTGACAGAGTGATTCTGCTGAAACAAATTTTATTTTTTCCTAATGCAAGCTGTAATTAATTAATTTGATCCCATCCCCCTATTAACTGTTGATTAATCATAGAGAAATTTATTTCAAATTAGACACAAGCATTCCTTTTGAGCAACCTGACCTTGGAAATAGTTTCATAATGAAAGTTATTCTTGGACTGCCATTCAACTAATACGAACAGGAAAAACAATTACCTGTAGATAAGAAAATTAACAATGAATAAAGAAGTGGTCAACAACCTTTATTCCCTCTAGGTAATGATCCTTATTTATAAAAGCTTTAAGTATCTTTACTTGGTGGTCTGTACCTCTTAGTTGAGTTCCTGAACCTTTATATATGGTTTGTATGGATCCATTCTGTAAATTTATACCTGCATTAGTAGCCATTGAAAATTGGTTTAAGATTATAGAAAGTTGATTGAAGTCTAGAAGACATTGCTTATACCTGCTTTGTTACACTGGTCTTTAATTTTTCATTTAAAAGTTTCTATGACATTTCAGTATTTGAATATATTTGGTTTTGGTGTCTCAGTTGTTACAAGTGCTTGATTGGATTGTTTTCTTTGTATGCTTATGAGGATTATTTCTAATGACAGGATGCTACGGGGAGAGAGAGCTATTTACAACAAAGTTGCCAAAGCTGTTGTTCCCGCAATTGATTTTTTTATTTTTTGTTGCTTGTAATTAGTGAATTTGGGGCAAAGATTGTGCCCCTAAAAGAATAATATAGATGCTTCCTCAACTTTTCGATCACCAAGACCAAAATGTCTGTAATTCATCTAAAGACCTTACACTTCAGCTTTGTCATTGGATTGGGGAAGACACCAGCCAGGGCAACTTCGTCCTTCACGTCCTTCAAGTTGGCATTGAAGACTTCTGTCAGAGACAAAACATCCTCCTGACAGTGGAGAGTTTTGAGTTCGTTTCCAGCACAAACTCGTGTCAAACCCAGTGAAATCATTATTGTTTGAAAAAATGCGTGACACAATGGTATGTTAATTATTTGATTCTTTGTTTGGTGTCACTTCTATTTTTAGATTTTTGGAATTATTTTATGGTTTCAGTTTTTGATGTTTTAAGAAAAAAGAGTTAGGAAGAGCTTGTCAATGTCACTGGGAGGGCTGGTCCATCTTGCAAAATAAGGTGAACTTCCATCATGGTTGTTAAGATATTTCTTTCATATGTTTCAAATTTTCTTTTATATGGTCGCTTTTCTGACCTATTGTGTTTGAATATATTTACTCCCAATTATGTTTGTTTCTTTTATGCACGTCAACACTAAAAATATAATAGGTATGGCAGCATATCCTCTTTTTAAGCTGTCCTCTCTGTAACTCCTGAAGCACAAATGAACTGTTACACCAAGAGAGTACTTATTGAAGCTAAATGTAGCCTTACCAGCTATATGGGGCGTCCATTGATGAACATGGGGTTTATTGGAAAATACTCCTAGGCTAGATTTTTACCTGTATTAGTAACAAGTGACGGGGATTCTGCTGAAACATTTTTTATTTTTGTCCAATGCAAGCTATGATTAATTAATTTTATCCCATCCCCCGATTAACTGTTGGCTAATCATAGAGAAATTTATTTCAAACTAGACACATGCATTCCTTTTTAACAACCTGACAATGGAAATAGTTTCATAATGAAAGTTGTTCTTAAACTGTCATTCAACTAATAAGAACAGGAAAAACAATAACCTGTGGATAAGAAAATTAAGAATGAGTAAAGAAGCGGTCAACAGCCTTTATTCCCTCCTTGCATGTGGCACAGGATTTGGATATAGGGCATACTGAATTACTCATGTCTTCTTTTTCACAACTAAATTCATTTTCGGAGACCATAAGATCAGCCAAGGTTCTACTTTTGGGAGGCATTCTTGTGGACTTCTGGAGGTTTGAAGCCAACCTTATCTTGATCATCTAGGAGACCGAGGGAAAGGACTTCGGAAGAAGGCTATTGAAGGATTTGAGGTGGGGTTACTTTTTTCTACCCCAAAGGAAATAATAAATATTAAAAATTTATGACTAACTAACGCGATTCAAGTATTTTTGGAGGTTTTTGTGGTCCCTTGTCTTATTAGTCGATCCTGTCTATGAACCTCTCTGTCACTTGTCATTCTCCTGTTGGCAGGATATATGGGGTTACTTTGCCTATCTTGTCTGTCCTGATTGAAATTAATACAAATGAATGTATAAGAATGTAATTTCATTGTTTTTAGATAATATCTAGCAATTGTTTGATTAAACTCAATAAGAGGAATTGAAATTTATGTCTAGTTAGTGCTTTTGACAGCTCATTATAACTCATTAATTTTTCATTTTCCTTCACGCTTTTTTTCCCATTTATTTATTTGAATAAGTCCAAAACCTCTTTGTTTCACTAACAGGCTATTGTTCCCTCGGGATTGTTGTGTAATGCCCAAACAAAAGAAACCACAAATAATTTTTCAGGAACAACTGAGACCTATGGGTTCTGTTATATGTACTTGATATATGTATCAAGTGCTCGGTCTATTCTTATTGTTTGACCTGCCTGAGTAGTGTTGGTCTTTGTCCTAAGATTTGCTCATTTAATGTCAAATCAATGTCATGTGTGTTTAAATAGAGCACATCATATATGTTGGATACCATTTTGAATATATACAGAAGTGCATCATATGATATGTGATTTATCTATGAAGTATTCCACTAGCCACTTTATGAAGGGTTTTTTAGTCTATGCATCGTGTGCAGGTGTAATGCAAGGAGAGCCATATGTCCCACTTACTATTCTCATTCTGGAAGCTACGCATTTCTAATAAAGATTTGATGTCTCAGCAAAGAACAGGTCTTTGGAGCAATTTCAATTTTGAACACATGGGCTATTTGGAAATTCAAGTGCTGCAACGGATACATATGTCCATCCATCTATTCTACAACGGCAAGTTAGTGATCTAACGGCTGCTAGCTATTTGGTCAACTGTCCTTGTGATCTAATGGCTATAACTATTTGAAATCTTATCCTTTAGCCGGCTTCTTTGGTCCACACACATTTTGATATCTATAAATCAGCATCCAATAAAGGAGAGTGGTGCTTCAGTGGAAAGAGACAGAGAGAGCTGAAGAGAAGAAATATTAGAGAGAGAACTGGGTTTTTCATGCACTGAATGTAAAAATGGATCAAGCTTGAAAGAGAAGAAAAGGGCGAGAGCAAGCTTCACCATAGTCAAAGCCCAAAAGCTTCAACATTGTCAAACTCCATGGACGCCAGCGAGAGCTCAATTGAAAGTGGGAAGTCGAGAGCTCACCTTTGAAGATCAGTGAGCAGAAGCAGCCATTGAAGACTTGCCGGAGCTTTTCCGGTGAAGACAGACAGAACAGTTTCAGCGCCTAAACAGAACGGAGAAACTGACCCATTTCCGGTGTGCTTAAGTTCAGTCCTGCGAATCTTCAAGCTACAAGACTGAGTTCAGGACCTGCATACCTTCACCGACGACAACTGAGAGCTCACGACCAGCATACTTTCACCTGTGATAGACCCAGAAGCTTCATCCATTTCTTCCACCGGTGATAGAATTACGAGTTCAGGACCTGCATACTTTCCCCGGTGACAAAATCGTGAGCTCACGACCAGCACACTTTTACCGGTGATAGACCCAGAAGCTTCATCCATGTTTTCCACCAGTGATAGAACCAGAATCGTCATCTTTATTTCGACCAGTGATAGACCCAATTGAGAAGCTCCATTTGAAGACCCTAAACCGGTGTGTTGTTGTTTAGCTCTGTTCAGTCAAAATTCAGTTGGTCCAAATTTCAGGTGTATGCTAGGGTTCCAATGTTGGGTTGATTATTGAGCCGAAATGAAGGTCCAGCCTTTGACCGTCTGCATATCATTGAAGAACTGAGCTGTTGAATATATCTCAGTCCATGGTGATTCAATTGGGGCACTTACATTGTTCATCTATTGTTCAACCAAGAGAGCTTCTAAAGGAGTATCAGTGAGCTTCACTTTTACATATATTCAATTGACTGTGAGCTCTCTTTGGATATCAAGCCATACAAACCACTGAACATTATCAATATCTTAACAGTGAGCCACATTGGAGTCATGGGTTTACACTAAGCATCACTGAAGAGTGACTCAATCAAAGAGCTTCCAGTGAGCTAGAGAAGAACACTCGAAGAAGAATAACTAATCACAAGGGCTACATCAATGTGGGCTTGGGTCTCATTTGCTATACCATTCAAATCATAGAGCAAACGGGGTGCAACCTAATGGAGCCATGGTGATCGACTTCAAGCTTGGAAAGAGGGTGAACCACATTCAGATCATCTTTCTCGACCTTCAAGTTTGAAGTAAGGTCTGTGAACCTCTCTCTCAAGTTATTTCGTATTATAACTCTTATCTTATGTACTTGAGAGAACATTACTTCTTATATCCACTATGAGTTGTATTTGTGAGCACTTGGTTCAAGCATTGGGATGCTGTGAATAGGGGGAGTGCTAGAGTGCATTTGTAGTGATATTGGTGAGAGAGTCCAAGCACTGGGGTGTTGTGGACTGGGCAAGTTCAAAGTGAACTTGTAGTGAGATTGGTGAGAGAGTCCAAGCACTGGGGTGTTGTAGACAGGGCGAGTTCCGAGTGAACTTGTGGTGAGCTAGGGTGCAGGGTGCGTGGAGAGTGAGGAAGCTAGGGTTTCAACTTGTACAAGGGTGTGTGCAGAGTGTGAGACCGCTTGTGTATTATCATGCAACACAACTAGTCGATTTACATTGGGTGAGACCAAGAACCAAGGTTTTTTATACCTATTGAGGAAGATTTTCCTTGTAAAATCTTGGCGTCTTTGTGACTGGTGCTATACTTCTTGAGACAAGTGGTCAAGTGTTAAAAAGTGGAAGAACCAATTCACCCCCTCCCCCTCTTGGTTCATCAAGTAGGATGCGTGGTATCCTTGTTAATGTGTCCAAAGCATATGGTAGACACGTCATGTACATTCTAATATGTTAGATTTTATAAAACTTCTATTGAATTTGTGCAAAAAGGGAGTACAAACTATGATTTTACTGTTCTTTAAAGTTTACTCAATGAATATTGAAATTCAATGGGATGCTGTAAAAAGGGGAGTTCCTATATCTCTCATATTTTGGAAGCCCTTATTTGCTATCAAATTTAACCATTTCTGATTTTTTTTTTGGGATCCATTGGGTTGAATATTTGATACTTATATGGCTGTCATATATCGGGATTGCACCGGCATATTTGGGACTAGTTCCATAAGGTATAATGGTTGGGTTTGATGTAAATGATCATATTTTTTTTTATAGATAATATATATATAAATGATAGTATATATTTTGATTAAATATCTGGAGATTGTATATAAACGGGAAAAAATTTCTCTAGATTTTGTACATAGACTTGTTTTGTGATTGTTGTGAACCTCATACTTATTATGCTAATTTTTTTTATTTTTTTATTGCATATGTTAAGGTAGCTGTGAAAAATAGAATCCCACTAGTGCGCTCATTGACTTTAAACTGGGTTGCCTTTTGTATTGAGGCAAGCAACAAGGCTATTGTACTAAAATCCCACAAGGACTATGTTCCAATTTGCATGGAGGTTAGTGAAATCCGTGCCAGAAACACTGATTTGTGTAGGCAAAGTAATGTTGGATTAGAGTGACTCAATTCATATGACCTGTGTGCCAAACCTACCAACAAATTTTCAATTGGTGGATTGATGCTAATCTTTTTCTCAAAGATATGCTCTTAAAACTTTGAGATCGAATTTTGGTGTTTCTGTCGATCTTAAATTATCACACAATCTGAAATAAATTGTTGATTTAAGGACTTAGAACTTTTTCTTTCTATAAGAGTTTTCTGGTCAATTTGTTGAATCACAACTTTAACCTCAATAGATTTTGAATCATTTCCTAGTATTAGTTTTTTAAGTCACAAGTATAGCCACATAAGAAATACACATGGATATACTTCTATGTATTAATTCATGTATTGAAAGCATTTTATAGATCTGTGTAGTTGCATATATAAGCATACAAATATTGTTGACCCTTCAGCATTTTGAAGTAGTTGTTCTGAAAACCAACGGGCCAGTGGTCTAGCGGTATCAGTCTCTTACCTTTCAAAGGGAGGTCAAGGGTTCAAGTCTCAGAAGAGACAAGTGTGTGTGAGTACTGTTAGAACATTTATATGTAAATCTATATTTATATAGGGGTCAGATTGTAATTATATATAGTTTTGTGGCCATTATGCAAATAGGCCTTTCTTGTATTTTATATATACCCTTTTATGTTTAGGGTTAAAGAAATGAGAACTAGAGGGCTGTGCCTCTCATATCAATCTGCTCTCTCATATTAATTTGCTCTCTCTCTTGAGTTGTATCTATTGCACATGGTATTAGAGTGATGATCATTGTCGTTGTCTCGACGAGTTAGGTAATTGTTGGCTAGGGTGTGTACTAGCTTCGAGAGAGATCCGATTCGTGAGGTTGTCCTCGCTGTTAGGTGATCACTGATCTCTTGCTTCGAACCAGTCCCACAGTTGCCGATTGTTGCCGGTTTCTTCATCGATGGCCGTCTGCGTTGCTATTACCAGTGTCGATTGGTTGTGTAGTCGCCATTTACGATTGCTTTTATGGTCGGCTTCTTCGTTTGGGGCTTACTATGTTCATGAGCTGGTCCTTTGGTATCACCAAGAGGTCACTGTAGTCTTGCTGTCATTGAGCTGTAGTTTGGGACTGAAGGTGAAAAATGTAATTCTCCGATATTTTTTTAAAGGATTTATTAATTAAAATTAATTATGTTTACTTTATTTTTTTTAATGATTTATTTTACTTAAGTAAGTGCGTATATAAATTGTGATTTGTTTTATTTAATTCGGTGCGTAGATAAATTGTATGTTTTAATTAAATTCTATTTTCTAATTTTATTTGTTAAATTATTATGGTGTTTGATTTGTGGAATGCTAATGAGTAAATTGTTTATTTGATTTACATGATTTTATGCTTGTATAACTTTGTTGTTAATTGTTGGTAACTATTAGATTTAATTTAACTATTTTATGTACTTAAATTATTTGGATTGGGTTTAAGGGAAGTTGAACCAACGGATGTGATATTAGGTTTGAAGGAAGCCTTATTGGGTTAATTAGTAAAGACCCATGGTTATGAATAAATTTAATAATTATCTTTGCATAATTATATATATATATATATATATATATATATATATATATATATATATATAAATTAATAATCATGTGGAGGGGTAGATATGTCAATATATATATATTGATATATAGGAATATATAATTTATTTAACTAATGATTATATATGGAAGGTAATATACATATTTATATTAAAATATACGTGTGTATTTATATTATTTAAAAGATAAGTATTATTTCTTTTATATGGTAATCCTAATGGGAAAATGATTTAGATTTTTAATGTGTATAAATAGACACATAAGACTTTAGGGTTTGAAGTTTTTCTCACGTTAGAAAAATAAGAGAGTTAGAGAGAGAAGAAGAAGGGATAACGAAGAGGAGACCGGATCAAAGAAAGAGGAGACCGAATTTGAAAAAGAAAGGCAAGTTCTTCTCTACTTTTCCTCTTAAAATTCATAAACCTATCACCTTGAGTATCAAAATTATATTTTTATTTTGTTAATTTAAAATAAATTATTAATCGGATTAGAAGAGCATGTTTAGTTTTTACAAAATTTTAGATTTAAACATGTGAATATATGTATAAATTGTTCTGAAAATTTAAATCTTGTTTGTGAGGTTAGGTTAATTAAATTTTATTTTGTCTGAAATTTTAATAGGTTGCTTTAACTTTGCGTACTATGATTAGTTAGATTAAATAGATCTTAATATGATTTTATATGTTCATTTATGCCCAACATTGATATATTAAGCTTTTGGGATTTGTTTTTCTGGATTTTCCTGAATTTATTTTGTAATTATCAATTTTTGTTTAGGAGATTATAAGAATTATTTTGGAAAAAAAAAAAAAAAACAATTAAATTTTGTGAAATCAAACACACTGGAGGGTAGTGCCGCAACAACAGGGGGCTGTGATTTTGTGAGTCTCGGAGCGCAACACTTCGGTGCGCGTCAAATCAGGACCTTAGGATGGTCCCGATGACTTTTGGATGTTCCAGTGTGGGTGTGTGCATGGGTAGAAGGTACACACACTGGTCTAGGCCCTTGGATGGATCTGGTCAACAAAGAATAGATCCGGTGCATCGCGGCGCATGGAGTTCAGTGTGTGTGTGTGGATCTAGACCGTTGACTTGGTCCAGTCAACATAAAATTAATCCATTGTGACGCAGCTTACCCAAGTCCGGAGTTCTAACCAACCAGAAGCAGCCACATCATCCAGAATGAAGAACAAGCGCGTGGTGGCTCGTGTACCGCGCATGGGGGCGCGTGAAGATACCTGCCAGCTTGTGGTGGCGCGTGGAAGCACGTGCAGTGTGTTTAGGCGCGTGTGGGGGCGCGTGGTGGCGTGTATGGAGGCGTGTGGGGGCCCGGAAAGTTCCTGTGGGGTCCAGTAAGGTCTCTGAATTGATTTTAAGTTTGTTAGTGTTGAAATCAACCTTTAGAAGAGGAGTTCGTGGTGTTCTAAGAACCATACGGTGTCACTAAAATATTTAGTAGCCTTTAATTTGTGTAAGTATAACAAATTAATGATTTGTTACAAAAGGAAGTATATGTATATATATATATATTTAATTATATATGGTTATTTAATTTCTGATTAGTATGGTAGGAAGTAGTGTTATATATACATATAGGTATGTATGTATATATATATTATGGAAGGTATTATATACGTATAAATATTAGATAATATGTGTGTATATGTATAACATTTAGGATAATTAATATTAATTATTCTTATTTAATGGTTATATCGGGATAGGCTGGTTGTTAAATTAATTATATGCTTTTAATATGCATTGAATGCCTATGTGTGATTTGCTTGAAGGTTAAATTGGTTTTAAAGGTTGGTACATGGTTGAATTGTAGGCATGGATGAGTTGCCAAATGATGAAATTTAGGAATAAATTTCATTTATGGGAAGCATGGTTAAGTTGCTAATTAATTGTATAAGGAAATATACTTAAGGAAGCATGGTTGAATTGTTAATATATAAATAAATATATTTATAATGGCATGGTTGATTTGCCAGTGCATAATTATATTGGTATTTGTTTAGATGATTAAAATTGCATCTAAGGTTATTGTATGTATAAGATTATGATTAGAATAATCTAATATGTACCAGTTAATGTATTATTTTATATATATTAATAAAATAGTACTGGTGGAGACATGAATGACTTTTCAAAACCTAAATTATGGTATGTAATTTAAACAATCAACAGTATTATTGGGTTTTGGATTTATTGGATTGTTCCTTAAATTACAATTTATTACTTTAATGATTAGATTACTGTTTAGGATAGAATTAAGGTGAGTGGAGTTTACTTTTTATGAACATTATAAATGAGGATTTGGTCTAGGTATGATTAATAATTAATCTTTGGTGAATGGTTTTGACAATTCAATAAACTTATTAACATATAGGTTTCTTATATTATATATATAAGTGTTTATATATATTTGTAGTATCGTATATTAAAGTTAAAAGTTTTTTTAGGAATGGTTTTGGTAGAGATGATCTATTTATTGATTTTCAGAGGCTTGGTAGAGAGAGCTTGTTCGTAGAGTTTAACCCACGATTTATTTTTCAGGTTATTAGAAGTTCAAGTCTCAAGGTTGAGTATCCGCAGTTGGAGGACTTATCCATTCTTTCGGTTTATTTAAAAGTATGATATTATTATTTCATTTGATGTTAGTATTCAATAATGAATTTCTGGATAATGGATTTTGGTTAAGGGGTTTTTGAGTTATAGGATTCCCGAGTTGTAACCATTTGGGAGTTATTAATGGATTTACTATTAATTAGTTTTTTTCAGCGTTTTATTTTATTCTTTATTTCATTTTTGTAATCCGTGCTTGTTTAAATACTTTAATTCATTTGATATTTCCTAATTTTGTGCGCGGACTTGATCAACCCGTGTTCTGATATTAGGGGGTATCACAAAGAAGAAGAGGGGTGATTAGCTACGGGATTTGGGGTGTTTGGCCATTGAAGTTGGGTTAGTCCAGACTGGTTGTCCCCTAACCCAGTTTTGCAGAGACCCGATTACAGATTCGACCCGATTTGAGATCCGGTTGGAGGTTCTACCCGAATCCTTTTCTGATCCGGGTCTGGTTCGACCTCGTTTCTCCTTATTTGGGTCTGTTCTGTTCTGCTTTCTTTCTTCCTGTAGTGTTCGGTTCTTCTTCTGTTCCCGATTCGATTATGTTCTAGCCTTCTCTGGTGTAACAGTTTTTTTTTTTTTTGTTTCTCTTCAGTTCTTTTCGGGACAGATTTGGCATCAGTGTGACTTTAAATTGGGACAAATAAGTTTTTTTCAGTTTACATAGACATTTGCTTTGTTTTAGCAGTTGCTTCTATTTTTGTGGCATTAAATCCATGTCGGAAACTTCAACTGTTGCTTCTCAGTCGACTGGAATTAAATCTCCTGCAACACATGTTGATCATGTCGGGTTGCAAATTGCAACTGTGAAATTAAGTAATTCCAATTACTTACTATGAGCCTAAGCAGTGAAAATCTCTTTAGGCGCTCGACGAAAGCTGAAGTTTATTACAGATGACTCTCCAATAAATACATCAATAGCGTATGAGGACTGGGAAACTGATAACTACTTGGTTATGTCCTGGTTGTGGAACAGTATGGATCCTTGCATTACATTCACTTTTATGTTTACAAACACTGCAAAGGGAATATATGGGGATGCAGTTAAAGAAACCTACTCTATGGACACCAATGTTTCTCGCATATATTCACTGTATGAGAAGATGTTTTGTTCTAGTCAATCTGGCTAAGGTATCGGTGAGTATTACAATGCTTTCAAAAGCTTGTTAAATGATTTGAATCAGTACCATCCCTTAACTACTGATCTTGCCGCTCTCAAGCGACAACGTGAGGAATTTTATGTTTCCATTTTCTTGCTGGTTTAGATCCTAGCCTTCAAAATATTCGGGATCAAATCCTTGCTGGTGATGGAGGACTCCCATCTTTGGGTAACATTTATGTTAAATTACTTCGGGTTTCAGAACAATCACATGGGATGTCCACTGTGAAAGAAAATCCAACTATGATGATTCCTTCTATCTCTCCACAGTTTTCTAGAGTCAATGATACTCCTAGTAGCAACAGAGGGTATGGAGGAAATTCAAGTGGTCTTCGTGGCGATGGTGGCCGTGATAGAGGCCGTAGTCACCGTGGTCGTGGACGTACTGATACTCGCTACTGCAGTCACTGTCGAGGTACTAACCATTCTGTTGAGCACTGTTGGGCTCTTCATGGGAAACCAGCATGGGAAAATCAAGTATTGTCTTCCTCTAATATTGCTGGGTCTCATCCCTTTCTTGACTACAACCAACCGCCTTCTCAGACTTCTGTATTGCTATCACCTGCATCTACTAGTGACAGTGTGACACCATCACGAGCTGAGTTCAGTGCCTTGGTCAACCGGACACATCCCAACTCTATTGATGTGGTTAATTTTGCGAAATTAGGTAATATTGCATGCTTGTCCGATTTACAAACTTCAGCCTCCCCTTGGGTTATTGACTCTGGGGCGTCTACCCATCTCACAGGTGATGAATCTCTATTTTCTAATTTTCAGAAGTCTAGCTCCTCATCTTTTGTTGCTCTAGCTGATGGTAAAACATATTCCATTATTGGCTAGGGAACAATTAAACTAACCCCATCCATTTCATTATCTTCTGTGCAATTGGTTCCATAATTTCCCTTTAATTTATTATCTATAAGTAAACTGACTCAAGCTCTCAATTGTTTTGTCACATTTTATCCTTCGTTTTGTGTCTTTCAAGACCTCAACACGAAGAAGACGATTGGTGGGGGCATTAACAAAAATGGCCTATACTATTTGGATTGCCAACCTTCCACTAGTAGTGTTGCTCTACATTCCCAGATGTCTGTATACCAGTGGCATTATCGGTTAGGTCATCCCTCGTTGCGGTACTTGAAGTCTGCATTACCTTTTCTTGAGTCGGTGTCTACTTTAAATTGTGAGTCTTGTCAACTGGGTACCATAGAGTGCCTTTCCCTCGTATTGATAATCGTCAGTCTTTGTTACTTGAATTGGTGCATATGGATATTTGGGGTGTCTATCAGGTTTTTCTTATTTTATTACCTTTGTTGATGACTATTCAAGGATGACTTGGTTGTTTTTAATGAAAGACCCTTCTGAACTTTTTTCCATATTTCAATTATTTTTAAAAGAAACTGAGGTCCAATTTGGTTGTGTTATACGAACTTTACAATCTGATAATGCTATGGAATATGTTAAAGGTGTCATTTCTACTTTTTGTGACTCTCGTGGTATCTTACACCAAACTTCTTGTTCTTATACTCCCTAACAAAATGGCTTAGCTGAACGGAAAACTAGGCATTTAATTGAAATAGCTCGGACATTGATGATCCATATGCATCTTTCAAAGGCATTCTGGGGCGAAGCTGTTTTAATTGCTTGTTATTTAATTAATCGTATACCATCTTCTGTTCTTAATTGGAAATGCCCTTATTCCTTTGTTTTTTCTACTTGGCCGTTGTTTGCATTGACTCCTTGTGTTTTTGGGTGTGTGTGTTTTGCTCACATATTACGCCCAATCACTGATAAATTGTCTCCTCGTGCCATTAAGTGTGTCTTTATTGCGTACTCTCAGACTCAAAAGGGTTATAAATGTTAGGATCCTAGCACTTGTAGTGTTTTTGTATGCATAGACGTTACCTTTTTTGAGGACACTCCTTATTTCGCTTGAAGTGGTTCGTCTTCAGATATTGAGTTGTTGCTTCTGTTGCCTGTTGTGTCACATTCATCAGATTGTGACCCACCACAGCCACTTCAAGTGCCACAACCACCTCAAGTGCCACAGCCACTTCAAGTGTATAGTCGACAATCACAAGTAGCACCTCCCCCCGCCCCCCCTCCAACCCCAATTGTCTACTTCTATTGAGGCTCATCCTGCTACTGATGATCTTCTATTGCACTACGCAAAGGTATTCGTTCTTATGTCACTGCACTTCCTATTTCTAACTTTGTTTCCTATAACAATATATCACCCTCATTTTCTTGTTTTTTTTCTACATTATCTGCAACTGTTATTCCGAAGACTGCATGATGCTCTGTCTATACAGATTGGCGTAAAGCCATGATAGATGAAATGGATGTTCTTCATCTTAATGGAACATGGGACCTTGTTCCCTTACCTCCCGATTCCAAACCGGTTGGTTGTAAGTGGGTATACACGGTAAAATATCTCCATGATGGGTCTGTTGAGCGATTGAAGGCTTGCCTTGTTGCAAAGGGATACACCCAAACCTATGGTATTGATTATGATGAGACTTTTTCCCCGGTTGCGAAGATTTCGTCTATTCGATTCCTTATTTCCATTGCTGCCAATTGTAATTGGCCGTTGTTTTAATTAGATGTGAAAGATGCCTTCTTGCATGGACTTACATGAAGAAGTTTATATGGAGCAACCACCTGGATTTGTTGTTTAGGGGGAGTCTCGTTATGCTGTATGTCGCCTTAAGAAGGCCCTGTATGGATTGAAACAGTCTTCAAGGGCTTAGTTTGGAAAATTCTCCGAGGAGGCACTTTCCTTCGGCCTTAACAGATGCTAGACAGATCATTCGGTATTTCACCAGCATACTAAAACTAGCTTTATATTTGTTGTGGTATATGTAAATGATATTGTTATAATAGGTGATGATTCTGACGGCATTGCAAAGTTGAAATTGTTCTTGCATAATCGGTTCCCCACTAAGGATTTAGGCAAACTCAAATATTTCTTGGGTATTGAGTTTGCTAGATCCAAGGAAGGTATAAGCCTATCTCAAAGGAAATATGTGTTGGACTTATTAGAACAGACAGGTATGTTAGGTAATTGCCCTGCTGATGCTCCTATGGATCCAAATATAAAACTATTACCTGATAAGGGTGATTTATTTGACGACCATGGCAGTTATCGACGTCTGGTTAGGAAATTAATTTATCTCACTATCAATTGAACTGACATTTCATATGCAGTTAGTGTTATAAGTCAGTTTATGAGTGCTCCCAGAGTACCACATTAGAATGTTGTTCTTCGAATTATTCGATATCTCAAGCAAGCTTTTAGTTTCGGATTACTATATAAATCTAATGGTTATCTCAATGTGACAGGTTTCACAGATGCTGACTGGGCTGATTCTCCCTTAGAATATCTACTACAAGCTATTGTACTTTTGTTGGTGGAAATCTTGTTACATGGAAAAGTAAAAAGCAAACAGTGGAAGCACGATCTAGCGCTGAAGCAGAGTACAGGGCATGACCCATACCTCTAGTGAGTTAATGTGGATACAACATTTTCTTGAGGAACTTGGGTTAATAGTCAAGACTTCTATTCCATTGTTCTTTGATAACCAAGCAGCTATTCACATTGCATCCAATCCGGTATTTCATGAAAGAACCAAGCATATTGAAGTTGATTGTCACTTCATTCGAGAAAATATTGAGTGGGAACATTTCTACTATATTTGTGAAGTCTGAAGATCAATTAGCTGATATGTTTACTAAGGCTCTTGGTCATAATCGGTTAAAGGCGATTTGTTCTATGCTGGGATTATATGATATATATTCTCCAGCTTGAGGGGAGTGTTAGAACATTTATATGTAAATATATATTTATGTAGGGGTCAGATTGTAGTTATAATATAGGGTTTGTGGCCATTATGCAAATAGGCATTTCTTGTATTTTATATATACCCTTTTATGTACAGGGTTAAAGAAATGAGAACTAGAGGGCTGCGCCCTTCTCATATTAATCTGTTCCCTCATATCAATTTGCTAGTTCTCTCTTTTAAATTGAATCTATTGCACAAGTACCAACTAAAAAAAAAAGGTAGTAGTTGTTCTGAAAGGTATGATCTCTTTATTTTGTGGTCATTTGTTAAAACAAATTATGTGTAGTGCCTCAATGATGTGACCCCAGAAGTGAGTGATGCTTCATTTTCTGCTTTGGTAGCCTTTTCATTCATAATTTCACTTCCTCTGATATTTTCTCAATTTGTGTCTTACTACTTTGGCAATAGTTGTTATTTCGTTCATCCGTTGTTATCTTGTAGTTAGTTGGCATGAGGTCTTTAGAGAAGTCATTGGAGAAACTTGATGATGTTAGAAAAGCTTTTGGAAATGATTGGTTTTATTTGACACTTGCTTTGGTTTTACTTATTATCATCATCATCATCATCCTTGCCGAGATTGAATATCCTAAATGTTTCGTCTGCATTATAATATTTGCATCATGGTCATTTTGCACATGTTGTTCATTGTGATGTACCTAGCAATGTTCTGCTAAATGATGACATGATTGTGCATCGAGGAGAATTTGGCATTGCAAAGCTTTTAGGCAAACAAGAGTCCAGGCTTTAATTGGTTATTTTGCACCAGGTGACCCCAAAAGTGTCAAGGAGCACTGCATAGGATCAGTCATGGATTTGGAAAAACCACTTGATGAAAGGATCAACATAAATGATGTGTTAGCTACTCTGAAGATGATCATCAAGGGTCCAAGGCAGCAATAAATTTGTAATATTTTGATTTCCATTTGAGCTTGTAAAGTTTTTAAAACATCTCTATTTTGATAATAAAAAAGAATTTTCCTTTTAATATGCATGCGAAAGCATTATTGTACTTGATATATATGATTTGAAGTTTTATGTTTGAAGGAGAAATATATGTGTGTGTATATGTGTGTGCTAGGTTTGTGTGATGAAAATGGAAGACTGACAATTGTCTGAATTG